TCGTCCCACAGCATCCACACAGAGGAGTTGCAGCCCAGCACTTTGGTGTGAACCACTATTCATACCCCCATAGTCTGAATTATAGGCTTGTGTAGATAAATCCTAAGTAATGGAGCCTTATTTGGTAATTACTATTGGACTTCCCATAGTGCGCATGGTAATGTCTGGCTTTTAAAACTCTGATGAAACATAACTAAAAGACGGCGGCTTGTTTCTTTTTACAAATGTTTTATAGTAATCTGTAGTGTATCTGTAGGGCCTGGGGATTTACTCATTGTAAGACTTTTAACTGCAGTTTCTATGTTTTATTTTATTTTTTATTTTACTTCCGTATGAAGCACTTCAGTTTGTGCTAATTGATTTGGTGGTGTATTGCGACAAGTATTATGTGATAGCTGTGGTATTTTGGTTTTGATTGCTACTACCATAAGATGAACTTTAAAGATCCTTATAGTTATTTTGATATACTTTCAGTATATCTTTAATTTTAATCACAATTTATGTCTTCCTTGTCTTAAGACAACATAGCTGGCTTATAGTTGCAGTTTTTGTTATGAAGTTGACAACGATCATCCCATATTTTATTTGAATGCTCATAATATCTCTATTTAGCGAAAGTATAATTGTGTTTTACTTTTTGGAATTCCAGGGAGTCCAGTGACTTCCTAATGAGTTATAACATTTCTAAGTTTTTATTAGTTCAGAGAAGGATAACATGCACTCTTTATTTTGAGTAAAATTTTAAAATACATCTTTTTATGTTTTGTCACTTGTTTGACATGGAGGCATTTAAAAGCACCTGTTCATTCTTTGTACACTAGGGAACTTACGTTTCTTTTCTGACTAGAGTAAGATATAATGGTGCACGATCTGTTTGTGTTATGCTTCTTATTTTAGTAAATAAGCTTTCTGCAAGAAACAGAAATTTATTCTTATATCCTCTGAAGGTGCATGGAAATAAAATGTGTAATCTTGCACTGGTGGCATTATCTTTTTCCTCCCTATGTTTTAACAACCCTTTCATACACTCTCTCTCTTTTTTTTTTTTTTTTTTTTTTTTTTAAGTTGTCTCTTTTGGGCATGAAGACTTTTAGTCTCTTACTGATAGGTGATCTTGCAGAATGCTTATATAGCAGTTGAAGTATCCCACAGATGCCAATGACATAAGAAATATGGCTATTCATTTTTTTCTGTATGTCTTAGGCATACATACGTTTGCCAGGATTAAAGGTGTTTTTGTTTAGACTCTTTCGGCTGCTATCCACATTACTGAACTGATTACATATGTCTTACAATGCAGCTTTTTATTGATTAGTATACACATATCATTATTACCATATGGTTTTCCTCCCATTAACTCAGGACTACAAAATACATATTACATACATTTCTCCAAATCCCCTTGTAATTTATCTTCCTTTTAGATTTAAGTGAGTTTCCAGTCCAAAAAGCAATCTTAATTTTTCTTTTTAAAAATATATCTGACTGGCAAAAATTGATAATCAAGCCTTCATATGTTGCAAGAAGACATTTTACGCCAATATCTCTTTGGATATTCTTGCCGCTGTTTCTGCCATTGTATGTACATTTCACTTGTAATTTCTCTTGTTTGAATACATCCTATAGTGATTTCTTTGTATCTCATAAAATATCAGTATTAAGAATTACAATAAAATTGAATTTGGTGCTACTTCAATAACTACTCCCAAATGTTAATGTTTTATCAGTTTTAACAGCTTAGGGCCTGATGCTGCAAACCCTTACCACCTTTGTTATATTTAATTCATTGGGACTAGTCAAGGTAGGGAGTGCTTTGTCCCCCATTCTTGCAATCACTTACTTACATTGAGCTTGAGGACTCAATGTGTTTGCAGGATCAGGGCCTATGTTGGATAATAAAGGGTTTCGGGATTAGGCATTTAAAAAAAGTTATAATTTAAACTGTTTCCCTGCATTGAAATTCATGAAACTAGTGGGCCCAAAATTTAAAATGTGCATAACATTTCACAAGCAATAATGAACTTTACTATTTGCATATTTGCTTTTACATATGATTTGATGGTATGAATGTGCTTTATATATGTCATCCATCCAGTATTAAATAAGCAAAGTTTATGAACCCCTGTGATTTTACACTTGTATTTTGTTTAGAGTATTAATAAACCCAAACTCACCAAGGATACCTTTATCCTTTCGTTTGGGTGACATGTATTTTTTACAACCCATTTGTAGTGCACGGACTCTGATTTATGCTAAAAATAAAAACCTATGATGTGTTATTTTGGCTTGGCAGAAAGAATGCAATGAGCTGTCAAAGGCAAAGAATATGCAGAAGCTGTAATTCCCATTTTACCATTGAAGAATAGATTTGGCTGGATTATGCCTTCAATACTAATCTATTTCTGTGTGGCCAAACAGATTTTTGGAGCCCTTCACAGCATATTTACTTTCTGTTCTCTTCACTTTGGGCCAAATGTTATAAAGTAGTATATTTTTTTGGCTCATGCAGTGTGGTGATGTGAAAAAAAAAACAGTAAAAAGAAAAAAAGTAACAAGTTAAAACATCTGATCTAGAATATTTTTGAATTGGAGTTGTCACTTCATTACATTTGGTCTTGGTGAGTTGTGTATTTTTAAATTGATTTTTAATTATGTCATGCTTTAAAGCGAAGGATGCTTAGACTGCTTCTTTAAAAGTTGCAGTAGAATACACTTCAAAATGTTTGAACATATTTTATTTCGTATTCAATTTGAAAATACAGCCTTGTCCTGTTTAGCATGTATCTTGTTCCCATTACAGTACAAGTTCAGTTTCCAAACATCCTGTGTAGGCTCCGGTGTTTAAGGGCCTTAATCTTCTCCTTATGTTGGTTATGCTTATGATCCCATACTTAACCATTATCATCTTTATCCAACCATCTTCAGTAACTCCCCAAACATTTTTGATAAACAAGATTGCACTGTAAGTTTTTATAACTCTTCTCTTTTTAGTAGTTTTTAGTTTTGAAAAAACAATTAAATTCCCTCCTCCTTTCCCCCCCCATCCCCAACTAGATGATAGCATCTCTGCTGCAAGCACATCTGATGTCCAGGACCGTCTTTCAGCTCTCGAACTGAGAGTTCAGCAACAAGAAGATGAAATCACTGTGCTAAAAGCAGCATTGGCTGATGTTTTGAGACGTCTTGCTATCTCTGAAGACCACGTGGCCTCTGTGAGAAAGTCAGCACCAAGTAAAGGTAATGATGCATATTGTGGATTGGAGTGAATTTGACAGATTCTAGCTTTTCATATTGGAATGTTAACACTTGGAAATTTCTCATTGGGTTTGTTTGCTATCTTAAGCATGAAAGCAGCTGTCAATAAATTGACTTTCAGTTATTTTTCACCAACATCTTTTTTGATAGGGTAAAAATCTGAAAACTGAGATTGTCTTTTTGCCCTTTGCAGTAGAACATCAGAGTTAAGAACACTTTGAGAGTGGAGGTTGTTAGTAACTCTGAAATGTTTGTAACTCTGAACAAAACATTATGGTTGTTCTTTCAAAAGCTTACAACTGAACGTTGACGTAATACAGCTTTGAAATTTTACTATGTAGAAGAAAAATGCTGCTTTCCCTTTATTTTTTTTAGTAGTTTACATTTAACACAGTGTTGTGCTGTATTTGCTTTTTTATTTTTATTTATTTATTTGGTCTCTGTTGCTGCCTGATTGTGTACTTCCGTTTCCAAATAAGGTGTGTAGTTGACTGGTCAGTTCGTAACTCTGGTGTTCATAACTCTGAGGCTCTACTGTACTTATATTTATACAAGATCTTCCGTGAACTCCACCTTACTCCTTGTAAAAAGACCACTTTCTGCTTAGAATATAGTATACTTTTACATCAGGATTGTTTAACCTGCATCCTGAGGTCTGGATGCAGACTGGTGGATCTCTAATCACACAGCCAAGTTCTTCCTGTTAACTGCAAGGTGAGAACAAAGATGGTCAACTGAAGACTCTTACTGGAGGTTAACTAAAAAATGTAAATTCCACTTTCTGTTTATCTATCAAGGAAAAGGCAAGATGAAGGAAATATTATGGAGGAGTGTATATTTACACAGAAATTTTTCACCACCCTTGTGCTCCTTGCAAATTGCCATGTGACCACTACTGTCAAATGTTTGGGCTTCCATTCATTAACGTTTTTACATCTACTTTCTTCATGTACTATGTATATATGTTATATTAAAAAATTGGGATAAAAGAAGATAGACATATTTTGTGCTAATTTGCACAATATGTAAGAACTACAACTACATTAAAAAGTTAGCAGAGATGATTCAAATCATTTTTAAGGGTCTTCCAATTCTCAGAATTAGAAGTGGGTATAATTGTGTATATTCCCATCAAACTATCTACCCCAATTATTTGCCTTTAATTGAATTATACATCCTTGATTCTCCACTGTTACTCTAGTTTTGAAATCAGTGGTGTCACATCAATAAATTGGAGTAACATAGTGGTGAATCAGGGCATGTGTATGTTTATATACATATGTTTTATATGTTCAAAATATGAAAGCTGAAAAATACTGAAATTTTGTAATGGTTTTAGATGTAGAACAGCATTGAGATCTAATTATTGTAATTGTTTTTTTTTCATGTCCCCATGCCAGATGGAAGGAAGTGTTGACACTTAATTGGCATTGACTCTGAATCATTCTATTCTGTCTTATTTGCTAAATGGTAGACAGTTGTTATCTGTGATTCAGCTTTCTTTTATCTGACATTTATCATGCCTCATCAGGATTCAAACTTCCTTGTCTAACATTTTGAATAAACAAAGTACTAGCAAGTATTTGAGATAAGTACAGTAAGTCTATGTTGCAAGCTACTAATTTTTGCAGAAAAGTGATACTTTCAAGTGAAAAATCATGGACAGAATGTACATACTTGGGGCCACAATTTTCATACTTGGATGGTTAAAGTGCGTAGTTTCTCTTTAGGCATTTACATAAGTGGCTTCCCGATCAGTCCATGCTGGGGCCCTCTTTCTATTCTGCGATTGCATGGTCACCTCTGCTGGAGAGCTCTGCATCGTTGCCAGTGCTGCTGAGCTCGCCACGATGTCCAAACAGGAAATGAGATTCAAACTGGCCAGACAGGAAAAGGAATTCAGATTTTCCCGGGGCTTTTCCTGTGTGGCTGGTCAGAGCATCCGAGCTCGGACTGCTGTCCAGAGCGTCAACAGAGTGGTGCACTGTGGGATAGCTCCCGGAGCTATTAGCGTCGAATTCCGTCCACAGTAACCCTAATTCGACATGGCCATGTCGAATTTAGCGCTACTCCCCTCGTCGGGGAGGAGTACAGAAATCGATTTAAAGAGACCTCTATGTCGAAATAAATAGCTTCGTTGTGTGGACGGGTGCAGGGTTAATTCGAGTTAACACTGCTAAATTCGACATAACCTCCTAGTGTAGACCAGGCCACAGTCTCTATTCGGAATCTAAAGTCATAAGTAGTTTTTGCCACAGAATGGCAGTTTTTAATGACACAAACTTTCCTCTAATCCTGTAGATCCCCAAAGAGAGACATAATTGGGGAAAGCCGAGTAACATGAAGAGGGAAACTGAAAGGAAATAAAACAGCATAAGCACTGGATCCCACTATCAAGATCTTCAATGCCTATAGATACACTATTTGAAAACACATTCATTTTATTAGATCTGGGATTCAGATTTTTTTTATGTTCAGACACATTTAACACTAAAATCCAAAGTCGTTTGGAAGGTTTCTGTTTTATGCGAATACTTTGAATACTATGCTTCCAGACTTCAAGTCAAAGAAGTGCTAAAAAGGGGTGTGCGTGTGCTTGTATACGTACGAACAGCTGATTTTATCCCTTTTATAGATAGGCAGATACATTTTGACACTACCATTGTTCCCTTTGGAATGGTCTCACTTTCAGTCTCCATTCTGTCTACCAAGACAGCAGATGGACTTTTTTCCTGGGGAAATGTCTGGGAATATTTTATTCAGTAACTGTGAAATTTTGCACAGTTTAGGGTGCCCATAACTCCAGATCTACTATTTCTGCCCTAATTTAGCCATATACTAAGGTCTTAAGTAGGATGTAGGGCCATGAAGGGTCCTCTGGGCTGGGTGAATTTCACTCAATGAAAAAATTAATAAGGCCTCTGCTGCTTGCAATTGTAATCAATTAAACCTCTTCAGTGAAAGGGTTCTGAAGCTTGGTGGCTGAATGGTAACATAGGAATGTCTAATTCTAACTTGTGCCTTGGGAAGTTGTTTACACCTGTTCATTCACAGTTACAGAAATAGTGAAAGAAAGGTCGAGGCATTATTTTAAAATTGTGTTTAACTATGTATACACAATATACAATATCTAACATTAATGAATTATAACTAATTGCTGCTATTTTTATTTTATAGAGGAAATGGCCCCTTTGTGTTGAAACACCTAACAGAGACACAAGTAAAAGGCATTGCAACTGTTGCATTAGTTTCACTATTGATGACTGGATATTTTTATCATGATACCTGGGATGTATAGGACATTATAGAGGGGCAGAAAAGAGATGTTTAGTGACATATTGCCACCGGTATTTTAGACTTCAGGAATAGCTTTGGGCCAGCATTAGTTTAGCCGTAAAAGTTAATATTTGGAACAAACATTCCAAAATATGATTGTACTGTACACTAATAAAAAGTGTAAGGATCAGGGACCACTGCGTGTGAGAAGTATCTCCATTTGGAGAATACAAGGATATCAGCACTTGTCTGTTAGTGGGCAACTCACAAAGCAGAAGGAAGATATTTCTGCCTCTGTATCTTCCACCAAGAAGCTCTCATAGATACAGGAAATCCTTTCAAAATGATAATGGAAGAAGGTTGTTATAAAGCCTCTCTGTCTCTACACAAACTATGCACACGTATGCAAAGCGATAGGAAAGGCTAATAAATCCAAGGAAGGTATTAAATATTATTGAAGTTATTCTAGTTCAGAGAAGAATTAGTGGTGCTGTCCTAGCCTCTGCCCATACACAAGCATCCCTGTAAGTTAACACAGATGCTCCCTTCTGAGATAATCTTAATGCTTATGTTTTAAAGCAGTTTACTTGTAGCTGGTAAACTGGCCATCTACTTTTTTATGATTATGTATTTAGATGACACTATTCCTGCCCTCATATGTGTTGAGCTACTGAACTAGGGCATGGGTGTTCAGTAATCTTAGGGGCTTTTTTGATAGGCAGCTTCAATAGTTCTGTAAGTGCCATCTCTTTTGTGGGAAGTTCTTTCCTTTTGACAGCCTTGAAGTGTTGGTGCCACATGCCTCTTTACTTGATTACAGCAGTTGACGCTTATAGTATGTGCCAAAAAAAGATTACCTGAACGCTGGAGGAAAGGGAAAGCATAGAGTAGTCTGGTACTTGTGGCTGCCAGCAAAACAGATTGTATCACAGTTGGTGCCTGGGATGCTCTTGGGGTGTCAAAATGTATGTAACATGAGAATGCAGCTTGTAGGCACTGTGTGTGAAGACAAGTCCATGACACACAATGGTACTAGTAAAGCAGCTCAGGGTAATCATACTAATAAAGGCCAAGATGCATGTGCTTCCTGTTTCAAGAAGTTGCTATCCAGTTGAAAAAAAAAAGAAATATATATTTTCTCCTATCATGCCCTCTTTTTGACTAGAGGCAAAAATGAGATTTTGCAGTTTGAATCTCCAGATGGAGCATGATGCAAAAAATAAGAGAATGCAAGAACAGAAATTTATAGCAACCTGCTCCTACACAAGCCCAGTTAATAGGTTGCCACAGAGAGGGGCTGGTTGTCAGAAGATGGAAATGTCTTGTATGAGAGTACAGGCCAGCGCTGGAAAAGGCATATATTACACTTTGCACAGAGGTGTCTAGGACAAGCCAGTGGCACTTTGTGTGACAATGCAGGTTTTTTTCTTTAGTGGATTTGCGGTGATAGGAATCTGAAGAGTTCCTACTTGTTTTGTTTTGGTATGCAATAGTGTGTACATACCCCAAATACACAACAAACCTAAATCAAAATCCTATTTCATTGCAATAATTTGAGCAGAAGATTTAAGATGTGTTTTTACCTCATCTTAACTCTTGCTTCATTTCAGTAATATTAAAATGAAAAGTTGGATGGCCAAAAATGTTGATTTTTTTTTTTAATTTAAAAATGCTGACTTTAAGAGCAAATAGTAAACTGTGGGGGA